TTCATAATTAGATTATTGGCTGGAAGCACCTTCTATGGCGTTTTCTTTTCTGGAAGAGTTGATAGATGAGACGAGAGAGTGAGAAAAGAAAAGGCTAACATGTCCAGCTCTCCACTGGTTGGTTGTTTTGAGGAATTATGCAAGATCTCTTTTTCTTCTCTGTGTTTGAAGCAGCCTATTTGATCATTTCTCCAGTTCAAGGCAGTTTTAAACATGAAAATTATGTACCAATAGCATTTTTCAGTGGTATCTCATCAAAATGCGTATCGTATGCTCAATAAATGCAAGATGTGGGTTAGGCATATGAAATCCTTGATGATCATATAGTGGGTGCACTTTGATCAGGTTCCCTATGAGTTTTACACTGTGCATTTGTTTGGCTTACTTGGGGGCCATTTTAGACCTGCTGCTGATCATTACTCCATAATTTGGAGAAGGAATTGCAAAGAACACTTGGTCTTTTCCATGGGTTACATCTGCAGGAGTAGCAGTATTAATCTAGGAATGGGAAAATTTAGAATCCAGGCTTTGATTGCACCTGAATGAACTTCCTTCCTCTCAGTCCAACTCACCTCATTGGGATACTGCCAGAATATCGGTGGGAAAGCAGAAGCAAGCCGTCCAAGCAGCACTTGAATCATGGTTACAATTAGCAAATGCCCCAAATTAAAAACGCTTTCTAATCCATCTATGAAAGTTGGAAACCACTTCAATCTCAGGGGATTCCCTACTTCTTAAGAATCTATATTCTACAATCAACTATTAAGGAATAGGCAGAACCATTTTTTTCTATTGGCATGAAGAATCAAATATGTAAACAACCTAACTGGATATAGCAGTTTGAGTTTGCAAGTTGCTTTCTTTGCTTAGATGCACACACACGCACGCGCACACACACACACACACACACACACATTTGAGAAAAAGAGATGAGCTTGGTCCAGCAAAGTTATATTAAATTTACTATTATTGCTTATGAAAATAGCAATTCTCACCTATGAAAACTGACAAGGGATTAGGATGGGGTGCTCCATAGGACGGCTAACAAACTGGTTCTGGTCACAGCTTCAACCTGAATGGGAATATTCCAAATTGTTTTTCTCACACCTTTGTCCTCCCTGCCCCCCTGGTAACCTATTAGAAGCTGAAAGGTGTCGTCCGCATGGACAGCATTCACAAGAGGACAAAGAATCTTTGCTTTCAAAACATCTTGGCAACCACCAGACTCCTTCAGCACTTTGCATTCTCTTTTAGAAAAGTTCAGCTGTCACACTATGGACTTTCTGTGAGTTCTTGTAATTTTCTCACCTTGCTCAGGGTAAAAAGTGGTTTATATAATTTGAAGCTTCTTTTTTCTTACCTTTGAGCATACATGCTGCTGTGAAGATGGGAGAAGCCGCACTTCCTGCTTCTATCAAGACAAAGGGCCTGTTAACATTACATTATGTTATTGCTGTGAGCACTTAACAATGTGGAGATGGTGGGGAGAGGGAGATTAAACTCTACTGTAAGTAATGCAACGAGGAAGGAATGTTGATCTGTTTATCTGCTTCAGAGAACAGAAAAGTATTTCCTTTCGATGCTCCTCAGAAATTGTAAACTGAATTTCCAGTCAAAAGTACTGGCTATACAATGGAAATACACGTAGACGGCCAGATTTTGGAACCCCCCTTCTTCAGGACAGAGCCCCAGCCCTTTTTACTGATGCCATTTACGCATACCATAGATACCTTGTTTGTCATTAAACAGCTAAAGAAACAAATCCTTCTCTGTTCTTCCTGTAACGTCTCGTAATTTGCCCTGAACCTGGGCTAATCCTATTTTCCTGACTAAGGATTGTAAGAGTGACTTGATGTCACAGCAGGAACTTCACTTCAGACTTCCTTAGGGAAAATCTGTGTGTTCTTTTATTTATCCTTAGATGTCAACAGTAGAGATTGCATTAATTTACTGAAATTAGGTCTCTTTCCCATTCTGGAAATTGATATGCCAGATACTGTCCCACCATTACCAACGGTAACCCTCACCCATCTGAAAAATACTTAGTCTCCCCCCCCCCAAAGAATCTGTTCAGAATAAGGCAACACTATGCTTTGGATTTCATTCCAAAAAGTACAGGGGGATACACTATTTGCAACTCCTTAAAGCAGCTGTGTATTTTCCTGAGGTTGCATGGCTGCCCCACAAGCTCTGAAAAATGGAACTGCAGTTTCAGAATCAGGAAAGCTCAAAATCCCAAGCTCTTGACATTTTTCAGATAAGATATAATACTTCTGGTGATGCTCAATTATATAATACAACAACATTGTTTGAGCAATACTGACACTCTTTCACTTGCCTGATTATCCCATAATTGATGGACTATAACCCAAGTATAAAAGCCAGCTTGGTGTAATGTTAAGACATCAGACTGGAAACTGGGAGACTGTGAGTTCTAGTCCTGCCTTAGGTGCAAGGCCAGGCAAGGGCAAACCACTTCTGAAATCTTGCCAAGAAAACTGCAGCGATTAGTCCAGGCAGCTGCCAGGAGTTAAAAACTGACTTGAAGGGACAAACCAAGCCAAACCAAACCAAGCATTGATATTTTTACTCAGAAATCTCATTTATGTTCAATGAAACGTGCCCTAAACAAAGTCAGAATTGCAGCCATAACTTTCATGAATGTTGGTCCCAGTGGGCAGTGATACACATATACTGTATGTGGAGCTCAGGAATTAAGCTTGATTGCAAGGAAACTTTACCTTCAGAAAATGAAAGATCAGCACTGACTGTCAACTGACTTCTAATGTAGCACTTATTGTGTCATTTTCCTTGCAAAAATGTCTTTTGCTTTTATTCTGTTATACTCTTGGGGGGTGGGGGGAATTTCATGCTGACAATAGCACAAACTGAAAGGCTCTTTAGCATCTCCTGTTCCCTTTTATAATATCAATCACACACATACCTGAGCAAAGACCACTCTTGGCCCTAATGGAATTCTTAATTCTCTCTAAGCCTGATGGCATTATGGGGGCAGAGAGAAGCCCCCTCTCTTCTCTGTAATTTAACAAAAAAGCACA